TTATTTAATACTTATTATTATTATATTATTAACAGATGTAACATAAGTTTCCTCGCTATAGAATAGTTTCTAAGGAAATGCATGAGTAACTGAGCAGAGACACTAATCACTGTGTAGGTGAAACCGTACAAAATGACTACAGTATTTTAGCGATATCAGTAAAATCTTAGGTCAAGCATATCGAGGGCATGACATCAATACTTTGTAACAGGCATAAACAGAATAGGACATTGCTGGGTCTAAGCAGATGGAAGTATTCAATACAACTGCTAATTCGTCCCTGAATAAATAGATGATATAAGTTGTTCAAACATCATAAGCTTTGCTATGTTTCAAGTGCAAATGGAATCATATGTCAGTCACCCCCTTTGTGAATTAGATCAAAGATTTTCTCATGGTGCATTTTACTATTTTTTTCTGATGATAGACATATCCCTTCTTTCGATTTTGGGACTGCTATATATCGCAGCTGTTGCTGTGTTTTCCAAACATTTAATGGTATCCCCTAGCCACTATTTATTTTTCTATATATGAGTGTAAAACATTTTGTTCTGCATTTCTTTATATTGCCAATTCATAATACTGCTTTATATTTATAACAAAATCTTAGTCTCGTGGGCATATGGCATTACAACTTTTTCCTGGTTAAGCCAATACAAATATCTAGTAGGCGAATGTTATATGCTTTGTAGAACTCTTGAATTCCAATCCAGTTAGTTTATGGAGTTATTGATGTGTGCTGTAGCTTAAATTTTATATCCGAGTACAATTTAATATTTCTTATTGTTTTTAGGCTGTGTGTATATCAGCTCTGTAAAAAATAGTGATGACTTCCATGGGAAAAAGACTTTCAGGCCTTTCAATTGTGTTTGTTGATTTTTAGGCACCATCAACAATGTCTAAAATGTTTAAAAAGAATAATAATAATAAAAAAAAAATCACGCATTCTTGTATAATTGTGAATGAAAGAGCAACTATGTGATGAAAAAACAGGGTTTTCAAATTTTCTTCTTTAAAAGGAAACATTTAAAAAATGTTTGTTTAATTCATATATAGACACTATGTTACAAAAACATTTGACTCTAAATGTCTCTTTTGCCCATTCTTTACCTCCTCTGTTTCTTGTTCCAGATAGAGACACAGACAGACAGATAAAAAAATTGTAATTACTGTTAAACCTTTTGATCTTTTGTTTAAAAAAATACACACACATACATTACACAGGATTCTCCCAAAAAATAAAAATATGTGTTAAATATATGTGTGGCACAATTATTGGCACCCCTATGAATTCAGATGAGAAAAAATATATTTGAAGTGTATTCCAATTGATATTGTAATTTTTTTCAGTACACTTGGGTGACTAGGAACAGGAAATAGTTTAACCCTGACTTCCTGTTTTACGAGAAAATAAATGTAACACATAGACCAAATTCCCTTAGCCATTCATCACAATAGGTAAAACCAAGGTATATAACTGTTATGTGCAGCAAAAGGTTGTTGAGCTTCACAGAATGGGATCCGGCTATACGAATATAGCTAAAGCATTTAAAATGTCCACCATCAGGGCAATAATGAAGAAGTTCCAGTCAACTGGAAATGTAATGAATCAACCTGGAAGAGGACATGTGTCTATATTGTTTCAATACACTGTAAAGAGGATGGTTTGGGTGGAAAAAACATCTCTAAGGATTACAGCTGGAGAATTGCAGAAGTTAGTTGCATCTTGGGGTCAGAAATTCTCCAAACGTACAATCTGACATCATCTAAATCAGCACAAGTTGTTTGGAAGGGTTTCAAGATAAAAGCCTCTACTCTCATCCCAAAACAAACTCGGGCATCTTCAGTTTGCTAGACACTACTGGAACTTCAAATGGTCAGATGACACCAAAATAGAGCTCTTTGGCAATACACCAACTTACACGGACGGTATGTGCATATTCTGCTGAAATATACTGGTGAGGAGACAGGTGGCAGGCAGCAGCCAGGGTAGACCTGATGTAATTGCTCTTCTAGTTGCTCACTCCACTGTCCCTTCATCCACTCTTCGCTTGTTCCACACACCACGTTGACTAGCTTATTTCAATACAGGCATCTCATCCATCAATACCTCCACCCCTCTGACATTTTGTTAATTCTCTTATGTGTCTTTACCCCTTCCTCATAGATTGTAAGCATGCTTGAGTAGCGCCTTCTCTTAATTTATATTTTAGCCAAATTGTGTCTTTAGTACATTATTTCATTATTCAACTTTAAATTCACGATATTGACATCCTAGGCACTCAGTAAAAGAGATACTGTGAAATATACCATGAAAAGATGAAAAGGTTACGGTTATTAAAACTATTCACGTATGTAGTGCAAAAAAAAAAACCACAACATTAAAACTGTACGTAGCTTTACAAAATGTTATTTAATAGAGAAAATATAGGCAGAGCTTGTTTTCAAGGGCCCCGTCCTAAAACTTTTTTTTGTATGTTTTACATGTTGCCTCGGTTTTGCTTGTTTCACATTCTTGAGTATGAACAACACCAGTGCTTAAAACAGAATGAAAATATCCACCAATTAAAAATAACAGCCTCATTAAAAAGTTTCACATATTATTTTCGTTACTATTAATGATTTTACATTTTTTTTCCAAATGTCACTGAGTTATATCAAACTGGAAAATGCATGACCACAAATATTTCCTAGCATTAATTTTTTTCTTTTTAAATACTGTAGCCAAAAAGTGTCAGCCTTTACATAACAAATAATTAAAATATAGAGCACAGCGATAATTAAACTATACAAATTTGCTGTTGTGCATCACCTGCATATCTCAAGTTGGGAGGAGAAGTTTTCCAGGACCACAAAAACTTAAGAAATCATGTTTCCACAACTATAAAAATAGAACATTTCTTCTTTCTGCCTCCAAACACGACTACTACCATCAATATCTCCTTCCAAGTCAACAGCACTACCATTAGCTCTACCTCATAGGCTTGCTGCTGGGGAGTTCTCTTTGATTCTAACCTCTCCTTCACCTCTCACATCCAGCCAATCATCAAATTCTGTTGCTTTCATCTGAAAAACATAGCTCGCATCTGCTCCTACCCATCACTGGATGCAGCAAAGGTGCTCATCCATGCCACGATCATCACTCGCTTTGACTACTGCAATCTGCATCTCACTGGTCTTACCCACTCACAGCTCGCCCCACTACATTCTAAGAAATGCTGTAGCAAGCTCGTCTACCTAACTTCCCATGCTTCCCCCATCTGTCACTCATTACATTGGTTTCCCTTCAGATACAGGGTTCAATTTAAAATTCTAACACCCCCACCCCCATCCCCATTACCTCACCTCATGTCCTCTCCTGCAACTGAGTCATCCAAAAAACTAAGCCTGCAGTTTACAAACTCTTCTAGCAGCCTTATTTTGCCATACATGAAATACATCTTAACCTTATCTTACATCTTACCCTTATCTTACATCTTACCCTTATCTCTCCCCACTCCCTTAGAATGTAAGTTTTTTGAACAGGGGCCTCAGCTCAATCTGTTCCTGTACGGCCAACTCGTTTTGTTGCAAATATTTGTTTGTTAGTCCACCTATTATACTGCTCTGTAGAATTCGTTGGCACTTTATAAATAATAAATAATACTATTTTAGATATGTATGTATGTAAGTATGTATGTATCTATCACCTATCTATCATCTATTGATCTATCTATTATCTATCTATCTATCTATCTATATATCTAACTATCTACTGATCTATCTATTTGTTATTTATCATCTATCTATCTTTCTATTATCTATTGATCTATCTCTTTCGTTCTTTCTTTTTCTCTTTCTTTCTATGTATCTTAATATCTATCAATCATCTCTCTCTCTCTCTCTCTCTCTCTCTCTCTCTCTCTCTCTCTATATATATATATATATATATATATATATACACACACTCTCTTTTTCTATCTATCTACCTTAAACAAATACAAAATATATGGCAAGGAAGACTATATTTCTATTTAATTTTATTTCTATTTAAAATTACAACAAACAGTCCAGACATACAAAGAATACTAATGATTTCTTCCATAAATGACAAAAGCTATGATTTCTTTACTAGCTGGTACAAAATTCCAGTTATGGCAGATGAAGCAATTTGGATATTTCTGTCCAATGTCTCCAGCAGCTGCAGACACACATGCTGGGAGCATTCTAAAAGTAAAAATGTCCAGATATTCCCAAACAGGGAGTTTATCATTACTTTTAGTATGTCTGTAATCAGGAAAGAGTTTGATATTAAGCAAATTATATTTATATATATATATATTTATTTATTTATTTTTCGACTTGTCTATATTTTTTTTACTGATATAGTAAAAACGGTTACATAAATGTACATTACTTTTTGTTTCCACTACCTCCTTCAGGCCACCAGACGTATATTTATGCAGCATCTTTAAAAGCACTATATAAATGGTATGTGTGATTGGAACTTTGCCTCTTACTCCATGATCCTCTAGACATATGGAAGATCGCTTTAGTGTGTGAGTAATTTTTTTTTTTTAAGAATCAAGCATAAGATTAATTTTCGTTTTTTCTGGAGACATTCTTGATTTTTAATACTATTTGTGTATTTTGTATTAAACCTGTTTTGGAATTGAAATTTACAATGACCTGTAGGATTACATTAAAGGCTTTCGAACGATTCCCTTTCTCCAAATCATACAATTACACATGTTTATTGTATTTCCTCTATCAAAGCAACACAAGATCATGTTCCGTAATCCCTTTAAAAGGAACATATTGAAAATGCTGTATTATGAAGAGGTTTTGTAGAACGTATCTCATCTGTAAACCGAGAGCGGTTACATAAAAATATATATTTAAAGAAAGAAGAAAAGAATTCTGGCATTGTCCCATAGAATCTATGTATTAGCAATCGTCATAAAAGCTAAAGAAATGAAATACATGACAATGTCACCATCATAGGAATTATAGAGGATATACTGCCATGGCATCAAGTGAAGCAATATTGTGTAATGAAAAGAAAAAAAATTCAGCAACTGCAAAATTATCAAAAAGCGCTGAGATACAGAGCAGAATACTGACAAGTGTTTGACTCCAGTCTCCCTGCCTTTAATGAGGGCTCAGAAAGTGTTCTTTGAGAAGTGATCCCTTGAAACCCTGCTCGACTTCTGGTTTAAATCTATGACCTTTTATTGCAACAGGAACAGGTCTAGATGCTGATGAAGTCAGTGTTAAATCAAACTGTCAAGTACAATACTTGCTGTCATTTTGTCTCTCGTTTCCCCTGCTGTGTAGCTTGAATTGCAAGGAATTTTACCACAGACAGTTAGGAACAAGCCAAGTGAAGCTCTTATGTGCAGCAATTGGTTTAAAGAATTTGTCTAGGGGAAGGCAAAATAATGATCCCATTATAACTTATGTTGAAGAAAGGTGGCGAAATAAAAAACTTCCTGTGTCATGTCCTTGGAACAAAAGTCATTTTTATTTGAGACTGACTGTGCACATGTATATTTACGGTGGTCATGTTCCATCAGAAATAGCCATTAGTGCCAAATTACTATTTTTAATAATAGAAATAGCTGTTGTTGTTGTGTTTTTTTTTTTTTTTACCTCTTTGTAAATTGTTCATATTTTGCAGAAGCAGGAAAAAGAGAAAACATAGAATTTTAATAAAACATTTTTTTATTATTTCTCTTTTTAAAAAAAAAATTTTTTTTTAACATTTTTATTGTTTTTCTTACAATTACACAACAGGTGGGGAGAGGGTACAGAAGAAAGAAGGGAGGTGTTAAGGGGGGGGAGTGGGTCAAGTATTGTCAGAAGTATAAGATCCACAGCAAGTACCGGCAGTGCATCGATTTTTCACTTCATGGGCACAGTAGGCACTTCCAATTATACCTCTTATAGAGAACTACAGACATCCGTACAGTATGGGGTACAAAGCACTTATTTAGGCTGTGCCAATCTCCATGTGTCCCAAGCCCTCCAGGCTGCTAAGGTCATCTTGTTAAGGGGGCATATGTTGTTAAAGCTGTGTTCATATATTTGTTCATGTTCCCACTGTTTCGCAGGTGTAGCGTCTGGCAGTGGTGTGTAGTCTAACACATGAAGAGTGGCCTACATGACATGGGTAAACGCTGGTTAATACATATTTTCTCCCAGATAGTGTGGGCGTGTGCACCCGTTTGTCGTTGTATTTCTCTATTCTTAAGGATAACAATCTGTTACTGTGTCCCTGCACACAGTGGATTTGAACTATAGGGCTTTGCAAAAAATGGCACTGTTTCTATAGTGACTTAGTTTAAACCCCTACTAAGATTGTCTTCCGTACCCCCTCTCACACTCAGAGTGAGCTTGAGCCTCAACTTTGTGCATGCAAGTTCAGCAGCGTGGGCTATAACTGTGAAAATGTTGATACACAAAACTGTAAATTTGGTTGTAAATAAAATAAAATAAACAAACATGGGTACCACTACGTGTAGTTAATTTGCACTGTTGAGTGTAACATAGCTTTGTGGCAAAGTACATTTTCTATAAACCTTGACAATCACACCCAATTGTGAAGTTACAGATTGTTTGAGCTTTGTTGCACTTTTAAATAAAAGCAAACATTTCCGGATTGGTTGAGCATCTTTCTAGTCTGCGAGGAGCCGTCTGATGCAGACATGTGCCGGCACACGTGCAACATTAGCCTTAGGTTCTGTAAAGTTGAATTACTATTATTATTATTATTATATATTTATAGAAGTCCACAGGAGTCATAACGTAGGGTAAAAGCAAACAGTATTTATTATGGATAAAAGGAGAAAAAAAGTATACAACATTTCAGCTGTGAGAGCTTAATTGTGTATATAAATCACAGTCAAGTAACACATTTGATGACATCATTAATGAGAAAACATTTGATAATTCCCAGCAATGTCCTGGAGTCACCTTGGAAACAAAGGACAACAAATCACAAAATAAACAATGGCCAATGACATTGAAAAATAATATATAAAAATAGGAAATTATGAATACAAAGAATAGTATGTAGGCCAAAAAAGGAAAAGCAATGCGCACCAAATACAGTATTAAACATAAAAGAAACTGGGCAAAAGAGCTTTTCAGCCCGTCAAAAACAGGTAACCATGGCAATCAAAGATGCAACAATATTAAAAGGAAATACAAACAAATAACACAATAAATAGAATACAGAAACATTAATAGAACACATGCCTAAAAGTATTGTGCAGAACGGACAATTGTAGTATAGTAGAGAAGAAACGTGGGTACAGACGATAGTGACACGGAAATCATAATATGGTACTATACACAGAAACTGAGCAATTCATGTAGGGAAAGATCGCTCATGAAAGCAGCCAAGTCCCACACTTATCCGTGGAGAAGAGGGAGACCTGGGTAACTGTGGCTGGCTGAAGCAGGGTAGCTGACATAAAGATCAGTGAATGCAAACTACGGAGAGTTCCAGAGAGAGTGGGTGCGGTTCCATGGCAACCGGGTTCCAAAAGGAAAGTGTAATAATGAGCATGTAAAGTAAGCCATAGAGACACACATACAAAAGTGGCAAAAAGTTAAAAAAGGTAAATTTAAAGAAAAACAGTTACACAGTGGCATAGAGACATAATAAGGTTGCAGACATGAAAAACCAAATATAACGGCATAAAAGATGAGAAAATATAAGATAGTCTGGGCTGGTAATAAAAGATAAATAAAAAATGTATATAGCGCCTTTCTCCCAGTGGGACTCAAAGCGCTTTTCAGCACAGGCTCTCGTTATTAACCAAATCGGCAGTTGAATAGTAATAGATGTTATTAGTATCCAATTGATGGTACTCATTTTATCGACCTCGGAAGGATGAAGGGCTGAGTTGACCCTGCCAGGATTTAAGCCGGTGATCTTGCATTTTGAACAGGCTTTATAGTCAGGGAATTTACCAACTGAGCTACCTCAACAGCAATAAATGAATAAGGTAACTTGAGCTCAACCCTATAAATGCCCTTGTGACACGTAGCCAGAAGAGAGGAGCAGGACGTCAATGTGTATATAACAACAGCTTGTAAGTATGAAAAAAGCAAAAAAATAAAAATATATATAAAAGATATGTAGACATAAAAGAAACCGCATGGACATAAATCAAAAAATGTAAATACATTTTAAAAAAATCCCAAAACTATGAATTCCGGCTTCGGAAAATAATGACATGAAACATCCACAATAAATACTTTCTTTGCTTCTATTTTTAAATACACAAAGTTTATCACAAAAGGAATATTTTAATATTTTTTTTCTTTTCCTTTTTTAATTTTATTATTTTGAAATTCTTTCTTTTTGTTGTGTATATGATTACAGAACAGCTTGTGATGCCACGACAGCTAAAGCAAGCACAATATTGTCCTACATAGCAATGCATAATCGTGGCACGGAAACGATAGCACAATTTTAAATACAAGAAAAGTATAAAAGAAACACAAGAGCAATACACTGAGTGAAAGACGATAAGACTGAATGCAGTATGGTACCTATACAAAATAGGAACAGGCTGGAGCTTTTCTATCATAAATGCGCTTATGCACACCCATAGAAAAATACAAAGTAAAATAAAATTAATTTATTTATTTTAAAAAATATATAAATAAGAAGAAACATGGGCGACTTCAGAATATAACATGCACATAGGAATTCACTGTAGATAACAGAAACACAAGAACAAAAGTAGCTAGTAGCCTGGTGAGGACATTTATGAGCATTTTCAGAGCATATTATAAGAGTGGTCCATTAACCAAAAACAGAGCTAAGATAGCTGATATAGTACTTGGACAATATAATGTGCCGTTTAAGAATAAAATAAAATGGAAAGTAAATAGGAAAATAAACTCAAGAAGGGAAAGATATAAATAAAGTAATAATGGCAAAGCATGTATTTTAACAGAGAAAAGATACTGGGACCTGCATTAGGTGGAAAAACAGTATCTCCCGAAAAAGTGACCACCCCTTACTAGCAAAGCAGAATACAACAGAATGGTCTGAGGCTTACATGATTCCAACTCATGGCCCTGCAGGCCATCTTGCTTCCCCCCTCAATGCGGCCCTGATTTAGTCGATCTCACAGGCATGGTCCCTGTTCGATGCAAGAGTGATGCTTCGATGGCTGACCGGGTGTGGTCAATTAGAGTGCCAGTTTCGAGGTAGCTGGTGAAGCCGAGGAGAGGGGACACCATCAACATAGCTATCAACATATATATTGTTGACACCATCAACATATATATTGTTGACATGCCATAGCTGCCATATTAGGTGGGATGCCTAACAATGCATCCAACGATGCTGCAATTGGACCCAAGGCAGATGTGTTCTGAGATAACCCCCACCAGTGGGTGGGCGGGTGGAACAATGGGGCTCAACCACTGAGATTTTGCCTTCAGGAAGGTCAGAGACTGAGAAATTGGCCGTTTCTCAACACTTCCACCACCAGGAAGGCAGCTGGAACTTCCACTGCAGTTATTCTTGTATTCAAGAGAGCAATGCTGTGCTTATTAGCAGCAAGAACCTTGCAGTGCTTTCAGGCCTATAGAGTTGAGAGACAATAAAGTAGATAATTTACATGACGCTGCATTGAGCTCAAACAAAGTGTGACTGCTCAGCATGGCAGTCAGGCCCCGGCCCCCCTTAATTTTGTTTATAAGTATCTTTAACAGAATATCTATGTTGAATAATTTTCACCACTGGAGTGTCCCTTTACTTACCCAGATATTAACACAAGTTTATAAGTTCAGATGGTGGCTTAAGCATTTCAATCCTTTTTGCTACTTATTCTCCGCCACTAAAAAACACCAACCACTCTTGCTTGTATGTTAATATTTCCAACCATGTGTGAAATATAGCAAGACAAACAGATACCATATACAATAATATACATACAATTAGATACCATATATAATATTTCTGTAATGTTTGCATTCATAAAAATTAGATTGTGTCAATGTGCACATTTAAATTTTTGTATATTTTTTCATGAGCAATTTATACACAAAATGTATGTTTTTTTTTAGCTATGCACTAAATGTTTTAAATAAACTCTATGTTAATATTTTTTAAGTTCCTGTAAGTGAAAGAGTTAAACAATTTAGTCTAAAAAGACTATATTTCAGCAATGTATGCCCTGGCTGCCACTGACAAAATTACACAGCACCTGGTCCCGA